AAGATTTTTCATGGCATATTTACAAAGTAATTACCATGAGTTGCACTCATATATTGGAATATTGACAAAATGAAGGCCATGTCGATGGATGGAGCCTGTAGTTGCAGATAGTCGAACTTGGCAACACTTCATGCATGACAATAGTTGCAAATGACAATAGTTGCAAAGACTTGCATCAGCATCTTGAAACACCAATTCAATCAAAGACGGAGCCATAAAATTTTATTAAGAGAGTATGACAAAGCATCTAAGATAATATAAGGAAAGTTAGATTTATTCATATCTCTAACATAACATAAATATTTCAACATATAATATATATATATATATATATTATATTCAATTTTACAAATATATAAAAAAATAAATATATAATTTCATTTTTTAAGTTTTCTCATTAATTTTTTATGATATAAAAATAATTAATTATTATATCTACAATAAACTTTTTAGCAATTTTTTCTCAATATAAACTATCATTAAATCAGTAAAAATTTAATTTTATCTTCCCCCATAAACATTGAATGATTTAAATGCATTATTGAGATTTAAAATTCTGTTTAATTTAAACAACTCTATTATTTGCTTACTGAATTTATTATTGAATTCTTTCACTTTCAATAGTTTGGTTATTACAAAAAAAAATGAACAATTTTTTCCTAAAAGAACATATCTTAATTATAACCTCTTATAGATATCTAGCACACAACATTTAATATATCTTGAGATTTTTTTTTTTGGCAAAGCTTGACAAAGTTGTTAGTAATAATTCTCATAATTTTTTTCATCAAATATAAAATGAAAGCAAAATCAAATAACATTAATGCTTTAAGAGAAATTGTAACATTATTTCATTAAAAATAAGTAGATCGTGTAAAAGGCTACATATAAAATTGAAATAATAATTCTATCTAGTGTCTTAAGGCTTTCATAATATGCTAATTAGGAGGCCAAAAATATATAACCCCCACATTTTATTAAGAAAAAATTTTAAATTTAAGGGGCCATCACTCCTATTGGTCCCCCTATCACCACTTCTAGATTCTCCAAAGACGAATCACCTTCTCCAAAGATGGATCACCTGAATCAGGACACACAACTCCTTTCTCGAAAAGTTGATACAACAAACAACATGGATCTCATATCCCAGCGCCATAATAGGGATGAAACTTTACGGTACGCTTACAAACAATTGAAATACAAGTTAAATTAGCTTAAAAAACCAATACGACTGAAAGATAAATTTAATAATATCCGTCTAAAATCAATATCCGTCGAATGAAATGGTTACCAGTCCAAGTTATTCACAATTGGTATAATCACTAAAAAAAAATTGACTTTCAATGTCGCCGCTAAAAGTCAAAGTTGTCATTGAACGCCACAATGTCGCCGCGAGAGTTCCTGTCGCTGATTCAATCTGCAGTGATAATAAAATTTGTCGCTAAAAGTTAAGAATTTGCGGCGACATTTGTTGCTGCCGAAAGTCAAAAAACAAATAGTCGGCACAATGTCGCCACGAGAGCTCCTGTCGCTAATTTAATTTACAATGACAATAAAAGTCATCGCTGAAAGTTGAGAATTGGCGGTGATAAATGTCACCGCAAAATAGAAAATTTGTTGCAACTAAATGATAGTCGTCACTGAAAGTTAAAAATCAACGGTGACATTTTGTCGCCGCAAAAACCACACATCAGCGAAAACTATTTTTGTCGTCGCTGAATGTTAAGTATCAATGTCGCTGCTGAAAAGTAATTTGGTTCACTTACACACATGGCACCATGTCACCGTCCACATGGCACCACCTCACGCCATGTGGCACCATGTCACCCTCTACGTAGGGCCCCACCTCGCACCATGTGGTGCCATATCATCCTCCACATGTCCCCCCATCTCACTCCACGTGGCACCATGTCACTCTTCATGTGTCGCTCTCACCACACGCCAAGTGTCATCATGTCACCAATTTATATTTTTATTTTAAAAGTTGTCTCCTTCAAGGTTTGAACCTGTGACCTCTCTTTTTATGTCCAACCATTTTACCATTGAGCTAGAATGAACTTGTAGTCTATTATTACATAATTAAATATACAAACACACACACACACATATTATTAAACTATACAAACACACATATATATTAAATATTAAATATTATAAAATATCATTACTATCTTAAATACTTCAATTTAATTCTTTTAATTTATAAAATTACAAATTATATTATTTATTTTGTTTACAGTAAACAATAAATGTAATTGATACAATATCATTTGTATTATTTATTTTAATTTTTTTTACTTCTTGAGGTTGTTATATTGTTTATTTTAATATTCATATTTATAATTATAATATAAAAAATATCTAAGAATTAATAGTAAAAACACTTATGATTATATATTAGTTTATAATTATTTATGTTTATAAACTAGCATTAAGCTTTAAATTTACTGGTGTTAAATGTAGAATTTAAATTGAAAAATTAGATTAGATGAAATATCATTCTATGAATGAATAAATTTAAGTATTACATGTTTAATTATTATAAACAAGTAGTGTTATTAACATCTATATTGATATGATGACTTATACTTTCTCTCTCTTCTCTTCTATCTTGAATATTTAAGATTTTTTACTTATTAGTTATAATTTTAAATTTAATTTGTTTTAGTTATTAATTAGTCAAAAAATATATATTAAAAATTTCATGCTTCTTTTGGCCATTAAACATCTTAACCGACTTTTGAATAAAATTATCCAAATAAATTTTAGTTTATCTAACAGATTTCTAAAAAAAAAACATATCCAAACATAAATTATATTACATTTACTGACTTTTCTTCTAATCTTAGTTTGATAAACTCGGTTGAATCTTAACCTTAATTGTACATTTTTTAATACAAACACACATGTAAAATAATATGGTTTGGTTTAATTATTTACTTTAGCTCATTAGCATTAAATAATACTTTAAACTTATATTAAAGTTACAATTTAACCATAGAATATATTAAATGAAAACTCATTATGATATTTTATATATACATTATAAAATTACAATAATACAACAAAATTAATGTCTTAAAATGTTAAATATTAGATAAATAAAAATAACAAATTACGATGATAATACAAAATCAAACTTTTAGCGGCAACATTCAACGTTGTCGCTAAAAGTCTATATATTCATTATAAAATTACAATAATACAACAAAATTAATGTCTTAAAATGTTAAATATTAGATAAATAAAAATAACAAATTATGATGATAATACAAAATCAAACTTTCAGCTGCAACATTCAAAGTTGCCGATAAAAGTTTCATTTTCAGCGGCAACACTAAAAAGTCACTGCTGATTCTCAACTTTCAATAGTGACTTGTATGTTGCCGTCAAAAGTTACAACATAATTTCCTTAAAAAAAATTTTAAAATGTTGAAAATCAGCGGCGACACTAAAAAGTCGCTGCTGATTCTCAACTTTCAGCGGCGATTTATATGTTGCCGCCAAAACTTACAACATAATTTTTTTAAAAAAATTATAAAAATATTGACAATCAGCGGTGACACTGGAAAGTCACCACTGAAAGTCACACTTTCAGCAGCAACTTTTTCTGTCGCAGCTAAAAGTTGAAAATCAGCGGTGACTTTTTAGTGTCGCCACTGAAAGACATTTTTTTTGTGCAGTGAATATTCACAAATGGTAATCACTCATTTGTTACTATTAACAGGTGTAAAGAATGGGAGAATGATAATTAAGTCTTAAGGGAATCAATTAATTTAAATTAAATCCCATCAAATTTCAAAGTTACTTGGTCCTCAATTATAAATATTAAATTTAACAGCCTCTAGGGATTTGTAAGTTTGGTTCCCAAATTTGCAACTTTATTGTGATGCATTTGAAATTTTTTTCCAAATTTTAATAGAGAACACAAATATTCATCTTTAATATTGAAAAATATTAGGGAAAATAGAAATCAAAGACTTTTGTATGAAATTTATATCAGGCAAGGATCAGTTGTTGTCGAAACCCTAAATGAATACTTATCAATTTGGGTTAATCTTTTATCAATAAGTATCTATTTGAGTTTTTAACAACAACTAATTTTAAATTAATAATAGTCTATTCGGACTTGTTTTCTAGTCAGATTTTGATAATAACTTATCCTTGATTGATATAAATTTTATATAGAGGTCCTTGATTATTATTTTACCAAAATATTAAGTCTAACAATTCTAGAGATTTGCAAATTTGGCTTCTAATTTTAAAACTTTATTGTGATGCATTTGTAACTTATTTTTTAAATTTTAAAAAAGAACACAAATTTTCACCTTTAATTTTAAAAAATAAAAGCCTTAATAAAAATTAATTATTCTTCAACCCTGTTAAAGTTTGAAAAAATAAGTTCCAAATTTTTCATAATTAAGTTGCAAAATTGAGAATTAAACTTGTAAATCTTTAGAGTTAGACTTGATATTTATCATTGAAGGATCACAACGAACTGTGTTGGCACTCTACATGAATTAATTAAGACTTAACTTGTATTAATTGATTTCCTTAACACCTCACTGTTATTTTCCCACAAAGAATATGAGAGTATAAGGACGCATGATTACGTCCGGTAAAGGCACAATAGAAAGTTTTCATTTAATTATAAAATATTTCTTATTTCATAATCTAATAAAGCGCAAAAATATTGTTCGTTCAAGCAGTAACTAATTAGTCCGAAAAATACTGCGTATGCATAAATACAAGCTTTATTGTTTTGGAATATCCAGCTGTGCTAATTAAGAAAAGTTTACTTCCGCCATTTCTTTACAAGAGAAGTATATGTACTTAATGATAGACAGAAAAATAAAAGAAAACATTAATGTTAAATTTACTTGTTCAATCTTTCAATACCTAACTTTTAAACATTTAGGTCCAAGCACAAGTATAAAAGGGTTTGTTGCATTGCTCTCCCTTACCAAAGTATTCTGCATAATATGGTGAAAGGATCAAAAATGGAGAGGTTTTTGCCTCTATGTTACTACCTTATCATATTATGCTTGATTATAAGTGGGGTGGCTGCTCAAGAAAACCAACCTCGGCCAAATCAGCGGCTGCCACAAACACCTGATCATCCTGGGAGACCTAAAGATAAATCACCACCACCACCACCACCATCACCTTTAAAGCTGCCGCAACCACCACCACATTCACGACCCTTAGCACCACGCCCTTTTATATCACCAACTTCTTATTCACCTACGCCTTCAATTACGATTAAGTCTCCGCCTCCTCTTACTCTAACAAAAACTCCATGTCCTTCTCCTTATTCAACCTCAAAGCCACCACACCCTTCCATGCCACCAACTTCTCCTCCTTCTCCTACGCCTTTAACTACAATCAAGTCTCCGCCTCCTCCTACTCTAACAAAAACTCCATATCCTTCTCCTCATTCACCCTCAAAGCGACCACGCCCTTCCATGCCACCAACTTCTCCTCCTTCTCCTATACCTTCAACTACAATTAAGTCTCTGCCTTCTCTTACTCCAACAAAAACTCCATATCCTTCTCCTTATTCACCCTCCATACCACCAACTTCTCCTCCTTCTCCTACGCCTTCAACTACAATCAAGTCTCCGCCTCCTCTTACTCCAACAAAAAACTCTATATCCTTCCCCTTATTCACCCTCAAAGCCACCACGCCCTTCCATACCACCAACTTCTCCTCCTTCTCTTGCACCTTCAACTACAATCAACTCTCCGCCTCCTCCTACTCCAACGAAAACTCTATATCCTTCTCCTCATTCACTCTCAGAGCCACCACGCCCTTCCATGCCACCAACTTCTCCTCCTTCTCCTACACCTTCAACTACAATTAAGTCTCCACCTTTTCTTACTCCAACAAAAACTCCATATCCTTCTCCCTATTCACCTTCTATGCCACCAACTTCTCCTCCTTCTCCTATGCCTTCAACTACAATCAAGTCTCCACCTTCTCTTACTCCAATAAAAACTCCATATCCTTCCTCTTATTCACCCTAAAAGCCGCCACGCCCTTCCATGCCACTAACTTCTCTTCCTTCTCCTACACCTTCAACTAAAATTAAGTCTTCGCCTTCTCTGACTTCAACAAAAACTCCATATCCTTCTCCTTATTCACCCTCCATGCCACCAACTTCTCCTCCTTCTCCTACACGTTCAACTACAGTTAAGTCTCCACCTCCTCTTACTCCAACAAAAACTCCATATCCTTCCCCTTATTCACCCTCAAAGCCACCACGCCCTTCCATGCCAGCAACTTCTCCTCCTTCTCCTGCACTTTCAACTACAATTAAGTCTCCGCCTTCTCTTACTCCAACAAAAACTCCATATCCTTCTCCCTATTCACCCTCCATGCCACCAACTTCTCCTCCTTCTCCTATGCCTTCAACTACAATCAAGTCTCCGCCTCCTCTTACTCGAACAAAAACTCCATATCCTTCCCCTTATTCACCCTTAAAGCCACCATGCCCTTCCATGCCACCAACTTCTCCTCCTTCTCCTACACCTTCAACTACAATTAAGTCTCTGCCTTCTCTTACTCTAACAAAAACTCCATATCCTTCTCCTTATTCACCCTCCATGCCACCAACTTCTCCTCCTTCTCCTATGCCTTCAACTACAATCAAGTCTTTGCCTCCTCTTACTCTAACAAAAACTCCATATCCTTCCCCTTATTCACCCTCAAAGCCACCACGCCCTTCCATGCCACCAACTTCTCCTCCTTCTCTTACACCTTCAACTACAATCAACACTCTACCTCCTCCTACTCCAACAAAAACTCCATATCCTTCTCCTCATTCACCTTCTCCTACACCTTCAACTACAATCAACTCTCCGCCTCCTCCTACTCCAACAAAAACTCCATATCCTTCTCCTTATTCACCCTCAAAGCCACCATGCTCTTTAGTACCACCAACTTCTCCTCCTTCTTCCCAACATCTGTCACCTCCACTTGGCCTTGGAAGTTCACCTCCTCCCCCATCAACATCCACACCTCCTCCACCACTGAGCCAAAAAAGTCCCCCACCACCCCCATCAACTTCTACACGCCCTTCACCAAATGCTCATTCTCCGCCACCTCCGTCAAGTGTATGCGTCACTGTTTTAAGAAAGCGTATCTGCATATGATCAAATCCCACCACCTTACTCCATCCTATAAACTCAGAGTCTTGATTTCGTTGTACCACTTTTTTCGCTGCATAATAATTCTCCTTCCTCTTTGGCCTACCAAACATGTAATCGCTGTATCCCATGAGGCATATTTGCATCTCAATGGTCATTTACAATAATGTATTATCGTACAACAATGTTATCATACAATAATATGTTCATGTGGAACAATGTAATAGCATGATCAAATAAAGTTTTTATTTTATGCCATGTTTGCTGTATGTAATATGAATATGAATAATACCTCCATCATTAAAGCATAAGTATTTTGCTTTTAATACTTTTTAGCCTTTCTTAATGCTTATAATATTCCTACATTTTATATCACAATAGCGGCCCAGATTAAATGGGGATTTTTTTCGCTTATAATTAAAAGAAATTAGCTTTTACTATTTGGCCAAAATAAGAGAGAAAGATTTCACTTACATATTGGCCCCACATTATTAGAGGTTTCTAGTACTAGCGTAGCGTTATCGAAAGAAAGTTATATGCGCTTTGATATTAACATAAACTATCATTGTTAATTTTATGACACACAAAAATTAGCAAGATTCAAATTTTTGTTAGAAAAAGTGCTCACGTTTAATGCCCAACAGCATTTCAAACAAGATTGCATCTCATGGGTGGATACGTGAAACAAAAAATAGATAATAAAACTACTTTTGATCCTTAAGTTTATTTTACTACCTTACATTTTGCTTTGGCAACACTTCACTTTACAACAGTTCTAAACATATTGCCTAATATATGTAAGCAAACAACATTTTCTAAGTGAACCAATTGATCACTACTTTCTTATTTTTGGCCCACATCTAATTGATCACTACTTGAAGCAACGAATATTTGACATTACATTACAAATGTTGCCCAACATAGTATAAATCGATGTTTTAGAACCAAACTAGACATTGAACAAGATAAGACATCGATTCACCATTTAATGGTCAAAGTGAGGTTGAAACATGGTCATACAAATCTTTATTAAAATATTAAATCTTCAATTTGTATTAATAAAAATAGATTAAAACAAAATAACAATAAAAATAAAAAAATATTTTAAATTAAGTAACAACAATAAATGAAATTTTATCAAGTTCACATAAAAGAAATTGCATTTGATTTTTTTTATTACACTCCTTTGGGTCCTATTTATAAGAGAAATTTTAAAATATCTATTTGATTTTATTTATAAGTCATGGTGTGATTTTTAAATAATAGTTAAAATATATTTTTAAAATTATCCTTCATAAATGTAGAAAAATTATATGACATTATTTTTAAATTTTTATATATGAACATATTTAAAATTTCGTACACTTTTATCTTTTTTATTTTTTTTACATTAATATTGATATGGCTGGCATGAAATTTCTCGAAATAGAGACATGAGAAAGCACAACATAGCAGATGTGGTTGCGTGGATGATGTGAAATTCACATTGGGAGATGTGGCATGTGAAATTATATTTTCAAAATGACATTTAATATTTAATATAACAGTTCCTTTCTTCTCTCCTTTTATGCGACATTGCGAGCATGTCTTTTCCACTTCCACCTCTCACAGTTGTATGTCTGCACTTCAATGATCCACAACCTCTAGTTTCTTTTATTTTCAAGTCGCTCCTCCCTGCTCTTTTTCATCTCCTTCAAGTCTACAGTCTACTACTCTTCATGGTTAGTTCATGACGCTACAACAAGGTGTCTTGTTCACATGAGCAAAACGTTAATTATTGTAGATGTGGAAATTTTTATCTTCCTTCTTTCATTCTTCTCGTTCCCCCTTTTTTTTTTCTTCTCCTTCTTTCTCTATTGAGTTTAAAATTCTGGATCAACTGATTTTTGGGTTAAAAAGATGTTGGTGAAACTCAATTCATGACCCATCTAGTTCTTCAAAAATAGTCCCCAATTCCTAGATCATATCAGTTCTTGGCTCAAAATCCGACCTAAAACAACTCAACCCAATCTAACTCTCAAAACGGTTTAAACTATTAGTATGAGTTATTTGGACATTTGGCCAACGGTTGGACCAATTCAACAATTCAGTTCAGTCTGGGTTTCAAATAATTGGAATAAGCAACAATTTTAAACTATTGAATTCCATTTTTCTAACAAGCAACAATTACATATATATTTTTGCCTTTAAAGTTTTTTGCAACATTTAATAACTGTTGTCGTATCGTGTTTTTATTTATACATAAAAAGTAAAAACCCTTTGCTTTTACATTTTTAATATTTTGATTATATTTTCGTTAATTGAATAATTAATTTGTTAAATTATTAACTAGATAAATTTAAAAATACTTTTAATGTTGTCATTTTTTATGAGACCGAATTTATTTTTTCTCCATCACCCAACATTGTTTGCAAACTTCAAAAACCTCTTTATGGCTTGAAACAAGCTAGTCACCAATGGTTTTTTAAGCTTACAATTGTTTTTACTTTATATGGTTATCTCCAGTCTAAAGCTACTGTTCTTTATTTGTCAAGAAGATTGGTTCTTCATTTATAGTGTTATGGGTTTATATTGATGACATTATTTTGATTGATAAAGATTCTATTAAATTGCTAATACTAAAAGTCTTGATAAATCTATTAGAATCAAGGATTTTGGTCAACTCTGCTGTTTTTTTGGTTTGAAAATAGCTCAAACATCATCTGATATATTTGTTTGCTTACATAAATTTGCTTTAGACATTCTTTCTAATTATGGCCATCTTGATTGCAAACCAGCTTCACTCCTCCTAAGCTCTCTAAATATTCAGGAGGTGGTTTGCGTGCTAGCTAATCCAGGTGTTCGCTTTACTAAACTAGTATCCATTCGGTCTTTTCTATTGGATGAGGTCTTAAAGAGAGAAGGGGAGAGCGGGGGAGGGGGGAGTGATGTAAAACAAGAAGGGGAGAGGGGAAGAGAAAGAAAGAGAAAGAAGGAGGGAGAATACCCAAACTTTTGGAAACTCCATTCAATAATGCTCAAAAAATAATACAAATAAAAAATCTAGCTCTATTTATACAGTTCTAAAAATAATAAAATAATATATATTTGTGCGCCTCGCATAGTTTGTCTACTACATTTGATAAAAAATAACTTACAAAATCACAAATAAGTACACTATAAAAAAATTAATACTGATTAAATTTCCTAAATTACAAATAAATATCAAGAGACATTTTTTCTCTTTCTCATGTAAAAGATCAAAATACAAGTTTAACTAGCCACTTTAACTGGCTACTCATTGATTATCTAATCACTTTTGCCAGCAACAACATCCGATCACCATTGTTGCGGTTCATTTGTCCTTTAAGGTGTAATAATCTTCATGGTAGGACACCGGTAATTTAACTATTGTGTTTAAGGTTCAAATGTAAGTACTATGGCGTTGATGATGAACAAAATACCCCATTAATTTTAATATGTCATTCTTTTTATATATTCTCTCCATAATTATTTGATTTATAGTTGGAAAAGAAAATAATGTCATTAGAATATAATAATTAACGTTGTCTTAAACTTTTAAAAGAATATATAAATATAAAATGCAAAATGGAATTTTTTTCCCAAAAGAAAAAAGAAAAAGTAGAGTATTAAAAAAAATTAAAGAGAGATCTCTAGTTCTCAGTGGGTTTCACCGTTAAAATTTTCCAAACTTGAGGGTCCCTGGTTCTCAATGGAATTGAGATTTAGGGTACTGGAGTGAGTCTATTCATTATACACCAAGAATAATTTGCAGGTAATTAATGAACCGACACCCCGGGGGGGGTGATATTAGGGCTGGTTTATCAACAATTCACAGCAATAAAAGCACTTTGAATTTTTTGTTAATGGTCAAATAGCTTATAACTAATTATAACTTGTTAACTAACATTGCATCGTTTGGTTGATCGGACTGGGTAAGAACTTGTCTTGTCCCATTTTTGACAAAAGCTAGCATAAATTTAATTCTTATTCTTATCATATATATAAGGGATTCGTTCATATAGGTGAATTGTAAAAATATCTTTAAGGAATTTTATAATCATGGGTCAGTCTTCTGCTTAATAAGTTCTAAAATTTAACTCGCTTAAATAGGTTATGGGTAAAGATATTTGATTTTAAATTTAAGTGGTGTTAGAAATTGTCTCTTTTTTTAAAAAATAATTGTAGTAAATATTTTTTTTATTGCTCACAAGTTACCTCCTATTGAAAGAAATCATGTTCGAGGCATGATTAAACACTAAATGTGGGCATCTCTCCTAGTGTCTCCTTCTATTAGACCTAACCTCCTTGGTAAATTTTAATATTTATTAATATTGATTCGAATTTAACAAAATCATTGCATGGTAATTTAAATTTACCAGATAATTATTTGAAGAAAAATAATTTACGGAGAATGGTAACTAAGGCCCCAAATCAAAGTAATTTGCACATAAAACCCCATACATTTTGAATTTATTTTGTTGGCTCAAAGGCCTTATATGCAGATATGTTTTCAAGTGAAAGGATTCATTCGCCCCTCATTTGAAATGTACAAGTTTCTCAGATATATGTACAACAAAATTTTCATATATAAGATGACAATATCCATACATTAATAACATAATGTTTGTTTATCATGCATAATCTATATGGTTTAGTTAAATCATAATTTACAAGTTTCACAGGTATATGAGTACCAAAATGTTCTTACATAACATGACAAGGTCTAGACATTAACAATATAATGTCCGTTTATTATACATATTTTGTGTGCTCTAATTTTCATGTATTAACAAATAACAACACAATGTCCTACACATGATGTTATTTTTTTTTTTAATGAGAGGAAAAAATTACTAAAGTTGACTTGGATTTTTGTGCTATAATAAAAAATATTGAGCCATTCTTTGTAATTTTTCCTAAAGCATTATGATCAGTTTTTAAAGAGCAAAACAGCATGGAAAAATGAAAATGAAACAAGAAAGCAAAGGAAAAGAAATGCCAGAGCAAGGAAACGAGAGAAAAGAGAAGGAGAAGAGAGAAGGAAGAGAGGGGATCTGGGAGGCTTTGTGGCTGGTGCGACCTCAATTATATGATAGGTAAACTCCCTATTTCAATCTTCTTCCTT